GCCCCGGCGCAGGGGCTGTGCCGACGCCGCGAGCGAGCGGAAGCTCTGCCTGCACATGCGTGGTGGGTCCACGCAGGCGGTGCTGCGCTGTCGGCGGCGGGGCGAGGTCTTTCCACCCGGCGGAGTGAAGGGAAGTGGGGACGTGCACAGGGGAGGCGGGGAGGAGCCATGAGGAGTATAACGTGTATATATGTAAAAGCATATATATGTTAACTGTTGAGGAAAAAACCAAGCGTTTTGCGTTTTATGATTGGATATAGTCAACATATGGTGTACGTTTTTGTTTGTTGCTGGGTTCGTTTCATGGAGCCTCTCTTTGCACCCTCTCCCACAACAAACAGCCAAGCGTCAAAAGCACTTTCCTTGGAAAACCATGTTGTAATGTTTCAGTTTAAACCGTAAGGGGACTTTGGCCTTGTTTCTGCTTCTTGTTATCTGAGAACAGTAGTCGCCCCTGGCAGCAATCATTACCAAAACACAGACAAACCAAAGGTAACCAGCCAGCCCACCATGGAGCGAAGAGGCCTGAGACGTGGGGTTCCCACTCGAGAGCCAAAGGACACGCCCTGTCATGGCTTGTGTTTGGCCTATGTTCATATCAGTGAACATGACTTACTGCTTTATTTATTTATATTTCTTTTCAGGGAGCTTTCCCCGTTTTCCTTTCTTCTGTACCTGCCCCAGGTCGTCCCGTCTCTGTTGTTACTTTCATTCTCGGTGTCATTGTAACGTCAGTTATGTCCTGTCCCGGGGAAAGCTACGTAACGGTATTTGCTATGTACTGTCACACGTGTGTGTGGATGTGCCTGAGCTGTTCAGACCCCGAGGTCATTGTGGTTACAGCGTGCACACGCTCTCATTTACTCTGTCTGTCTCTCTGGCTTCAGAGGTGCGCCCACTGGTCTCCACCCTGGCACGTTGCCAGGCTCTGCCTCTGGCTGTCCCAAGAATGGGCATGACTCCCATTGTCATCATGTTGGACGTTCTTTTCCACATTGGCCTGTGATGGAAAGGAAGGCTTCTGATTACTAGAAAACACAGCAACAGAAGACCTGTGTCTCTGCCCCTTTGTCCCCCCACACAGACAAATCCTGTGAGACAGCCAGTCTTCCTAGAAGCAAAATACCTTCTCCCTGCTCCCACCCTCAGCCAACAGAAATGGGAACATCTGGGCCACCTTAGGGTTACCATTTCTGCCTTATTTGTGCCAACGTCCCAAGTTGCAGATTTCCCCTTGTTCCTTTACTGTAACATGTTAGGTAAGTTGGTGCTGCCAGTCGGAACTTTCTGTCTGGGCAGCCCTGGGGTAGCACCCTGCCCTGAACCCCATGATTTCGCAGGCTCTTCTTCCCTTAGGGCCCATGCGCCCCTAATTCCTAGCAAGACCTAAAGATGGTCCCTCCTGATCAGAGTCTCCTCGTTGTGGAACTTACACCGGGAAGCCTTCGCAAAGGCTGCTAATGAGTTACATGAATTACTGCGAATCAGTGGAATTTTTAAGAGACAAGTTGAGCTTTGTGTGCATTTGTCGCACCTCTTCCCTGCCCTGCCACCCCGGTCCTAGCTTTTCTATGTACCATCTTACAGGGTTCTTAAGCCCTGACACTCGTCTAGCAAATGGAGAGCCTAATTTACCAAAATGAAACTTGTAAATTTCTGTGTCCTTGTATGTAAGTTTACTTTTTATGGGGGAAAGATTCTAGATAATGGCAAATGAAGATTACGAAATGTATTTTACTCCTGTGATTAGGTTGTGCGCACATAGGTCATGACCCGCACGTCGAGCCCTCTGGTGAAGGGTAAGAGAGCTCAGCCTCGGATGGCCAGCCTTCAGTTGTTCAGGTTCATAGTCAAAGTTAAGTTTTAGAACTACTTGTACTCAGTAACAAAAATCATTTTCTTTTCTTTTTTTTTTCTGTTGTTGTTGTTGAAAAGTATGAATTTGTTATTAAGCATTTGATTTTCTGTGTCCTTAAGTACTGCCTAAAGATAAAGCAAATTTTAAACTGGCAATTACGAAAAAAGAACTATTTTAGCTCTGAAGAATTTGGTAGACTTTGTTAGATTAGGGAGGCCTTACAGACTGACTTGACTTAAAGAGGACGCGTCACTCACTGTCAGTGTGGTGTGGGCTTTATTTGCTTAAATACCTTCATTTGTATAGTATGTCTCACTTGAAATTGCTTTGTATACATTTTGTAAAAATATTTATAAAATGTTTTGTAAAAAAAGTATAACAAATTGCAGTTTATTTTGTTATGTTGGATAAACACTGTTAAAAGAAACCAGTCAGTACCTATATTGTTAATCCATGGTTAGGAAATGTTTAGTTGGAGATTACAAAATGAAACAACCGTTGCAATACAGCCAAAGATTTGGGAAAATGTGCAACTGTGATTGTCTTGATTTTGCAAGTAGGAATGGCTGCTTTTCCCAGAAGAAACGGTAAGTGTTCAGTGGGAGTTCTATTTAAACATACTTACTATTGCCAAAAAGTAGCCTAACCAGTGAGGGGGCAGGATTTTAATTGATCGGCCTTTCCAAACAGTTACAAATTAAACAGAGTTGGTCAGTGAGAAAGTTTAGTCACATTCAACTCTGGCCTCCATCTCTACACCTGTCACCTGGGTCCTTAATTAAGGAAGGAAAAATGTGGTGATTTGAAAAGTTAGATAAGTGAGCCTCAATCTGTGGGACGTTTTCTTCCATATACATATATATATATCTATATATATACATATACATATATATATACATATATAGATATATATATATTTAGAATAATTTATTTTTAGAGAGAGGGAGAGAAACATTGATGTGAGAGTGTAACCTTGATCGGCCGCCTCCTGCACGCCCCCTACCAGGGATCAAGCCGGCAACTTGGACATGTGCCCTGAGTGGGAATCGAACCAGCAACCTTTTGGTGCACAGGAAGATGCCCAACCAACTGAGCCACACTGGCCAGGGCTTCCATATATTCTTTAATATGGTTTTTTTGTGTGTGTTTTTTTGTGTTTTATTTCAGAGAGAGGAAGGGAGAGGGAGACAGAAACATCAATGATGAGAGTCATTGATCAGCTGCCTCCTGCACACCCCCTACTGGGGATCGAACCCACAACCCGGGCATGTGCCCTGGCTGGGAACTGAACCGTGACCTCCTGGTTCATAGGTCAATGCTCAACCACTGAGCCAAACCGGCTGGGCTCTGTATAGTCTTATATTTATTTTGTTTCTGCGAGGACAAGAAGGCTAAAAGAAAAACGAAAAGGCGGCGGCAGCTAAGGGGTAAGTAAAGAAAACTATTTTATATAAGACTTGTTCCAGCCCTGGCCAGGTTGCT